CTCCAGACTTTGCTTGCCATCACGATCCACGTAATTTCCAAGAAATAAATAATTGGCATGAGGAGGGAAACCTCCATGTTCAAAAAACCTCAAAAGATCAGAGTAGTGCCCATGAATGTCACCTGGAAAAATAGAGTATGAGGTAAATAATTTGATCGACCGAAAACACACTTGCGAAATATGGTTTGCAAGGTAGGTCATCTCGCAGAATAGGAATGTACTGTGCACAATATAAAACTCCATCCGACAGTCATTGTTAACCTCAGTGACAAAAGGCTTGAAAATTTTGAATCTTTCCATATGATTTTATACCAAATGGAGCACAGTGACAAAAGGATGATGGATATACAGCTAACGCTGCCAAATTAAAAAGGTTGGTTGCTGTCATTGAAGCTTTTCTATGCCCCAACCCCAGTGGACCTCATACCTGAGGAAAGGCGATCAGCTTGAAGTTATAGGAGGATTAGACATTTTTCATCGGTGACTAAAAAGTCTCACTCGACAAACATCGCATCACATTCTAATCAGCCATCAAGGAGAGAACTCAGAAACCCGACCACTAATCTGAAGCAAATGCCATTTAAGCTGGCTCCCTCAGGTGAGTTTCAAGAGTGCGAAAATTTTTATGGATTAAATTATAAGAAACTCTTGTAGCCAAAATGAATATTTATGACCAATGTTGATGTCATTTAAAAATGCGTAATTTCATTATGGTCTTATAGAACGATAATTACTTAAATACGTTCGCACCGCCGGAAAAGCAGAAGGGTCAACAGATCTCAAGACCCAATTATCGCTCAAACCAATCAAGAGGCCTAAACTTTCATAGTCCAGGTCACCAAATACAACGCCTCCAAAAACAAAATCTAAACTATAACCAAAACCGCCTGAAAAAACCACAGCAACAACGCACAGGAACCAAACACCGCAAGATTCAAAATCAAGATCTTCGTGGTGGCACATCTCAAAGACGCACAGAAAGACAGGGATTAGATTAGATAAGATAAGGTCATAATAGATAACCTAAGATCTTGAAGTGGCCTTGGAGCTCGAGGAGATTGGGCTGTGCGAGGAAGATGTCGCGAGAGACCAAGCAGAGCTGGCCGATCTCGGCCTCAGTGAGCGGGAACTGCTCCCGCGCGCTGCTGTTCCCGAAATTCAACAACCTGTTAATGACGTCGTCCAGCGCAGCCATCTCGAATCCACACCCTAGAACTTTTTTTGGCATTCAGCTATCAATCTCTAGTCAGCTCTTTTCCTTTTTTCTCCGGTATAGTCGTTGTCTTTGTTATACGATGAAGGAGACGTAGGCAACGCCTTTCCGATGGAAGAACTGAGGGGAGACTATGCAGTTAGGGTTGTCCAGTTATTGAACCAAGGCGTGATTACTAATGATGAGGAACAAAGACAATCAAGAAGAGAGAACGAGAAGATGAAATGATGGAGAATGTCCAAAGCTCCTTCTTGAGCCTTTTCACCTCACTAGTTAAGGAAGTGAAATGAATGCAGATCTCCCGCCTCAAGTCTTGCCTTTCTCTCGCTCTGGAGATTGCCCTCCGAATTGGCGTATAATTTCTGAACTGCCCCTCCTCTCTCTATCTCGCCCTGTCTCTCTTGTATTGGATTATTTTCTTTTCTTCTCTTGTTTTCATGTATTGGGGTACTATGGTGACTCTTCGGAAAAACACTCCTAATCAGCTTGGGGAGACTTCAAATCCCTTATGAATTATATACTCGAGACTCTAAATACAATAAGAATAGAAAAAAGGCCAAATACAAAAAATCAAAGTCTCCAACGAGCACCGATGCAAGGTAGACCTTGAAATCGGACTGGACCGACCTTACCCAGGTGATTCTAGTCCGCTTCCTGGTTTTAGGTGTGGACTGCACCAAGCCGAAGAACCGGACCGGACCGATAGGTTGGTTTCAAGGTCGGTCCCAAAATCTACATGATAGATTACATGTTCCAAAAATTGAGAACTAATTCTGACATGATAGGTTTCAAGTTTCAAGTCTTGAACTTACCTACAATGAAGTCGCTCAACCCTACTCCACAATCCCATATTGAAACTATACAGACTAATCCAATTGAATGTTGAGAACAAAAATTCAGCACTTCGTGCTATCAAGTTTTTTTTTTTTATAACCATCGCTAACGACTTTCAAACAACCACTAAATAGGACAAATAAGCAACGGTTATTTAATTTGTTAAGTAGAAAAGTAACGACAATCAGAATCTTACCAATTATATGATTAAAACATATCAACAACAACCACAATTCCATATATGAGAAGAACTTAATTATATTCGGTCATCAATCCATAATGTTTGCGGAGTTATCAATTAACTTGAATCCTTATGCTCATTTTTATGATGGACTACATATAGTTGGTATTTACAGAGGTATAGTGATAGAATCATCTAAATAGAGTAACCCAGAGGGTTTTTTTAGTGAGGTGCATGGGTTCGACTTTGATGCATGCATGTTCTATTCCTATTATAATTGGGTTTACCATTATGTCTTCACGTGTATATCTATCTCATCACGCAGTAGACGGATAGCGAAAAAGCACAAGAATGTGCAAGATTATCTATCTTTAAGCATGAGATAGAAACACACTTTCATTTCTTATGTTTAGAAAAAAGTTGCAAGCGAGCTTACAATTTTTTTTTTATTATAAATTTGATGTGGGAAATTTTTCACTCTTCGAAGACATATACGCCCTGAGTTGCATCCATAATTAAGCTGAAAATATTTTTGATTTAATCTTTTTCTGTCATTTTGTTTATCCTCTTGATTATCTGTTCTACTTCTTCACGGCAATTGAGAGGGTGCAGATCGCATCAAGAAAACAATCTCTCTCTCTCACCTGAGAGTCTCAAAATGATGGATGTCTTTCTTTTATTGATGAAAGAGCGGAGATGGGACAAGCAGCGTTAACGGCTCTCCTTGAAAGTTATTGTAAGGGTCACGTATCCATTATCAAATGTTCAGATTTGGTTATTACTAATCCACATCACTTCATTCTAAAGTCTGAAGTTGGACAAGCTCGTCATTGTAACCTCATCAGAATACTAGTAGCTCGGAAATCTCTTCACACATGACATACACCCAACAATTCGGCACGGGTTTTTCTGAAGTTCGTCTCTTGGAAAGCAGCCAATCCATTTACTACTAGGTACGGGTGTGCAAACGACCGGTCGACCCATGGAACCAAACCGACTCGATCTTACCAAGCTGGTTCTCACAAGGATAGGTTACGAGAGATAGTGGTTTAGAAAAATGGAGTGCACATTGTGAATATTTGCTTTAATTTGCTGTTCGTCGTTAAACTACTGTCGGGAAATGCAGTATGAAAGTGGGGTTTGATTGTCTCGTTGCTGTCGAAAATGATGTCGATGCAACTTGGAAATTATTCTTCATTTGCCACATTTCGGCAATGTGTCCGCCATGAAGCTCAGAAACACGAGCAGAAGAATTACTTCACGATTACAATTCCTCATTTGATGTTCATTTCATGAATGCTTGTTCACACTCAGGTGAGGTCAACAAATGCAGCGAATTTGTTGTAAAGTTATCTCGTTTTCGAATGGACAGAGATGGAGACACATTCGAGTACGTGTGCAGATCAAGGGTGGAATTGATTTTCTCGACTTGGTGCACCAGACATTGGGGGACTGTCCGATAGATGAATCTCACCTGCTTTGACGATTTTTATGTGTAGAGCGCCTGAGGAATCGTTGTTTACCAGGTGCATACTCGCTCTTGGAGGGGAGAATATTAGCCAAACGTATCTAATAATTACTCGTTCTGTAGTTGGTTTCGAGACCACTGAATTTTAGTCCGAGGTTGCAATGCCTCCATAATCTTTGCTGCTTAGGTCGTGCTACTAAACAGCGATTCCAGACAGTAAAGACTCAAGATGATCATGCCCTGGCTCAGACCTCGGCCAAAATGCAGGAACATATTAAGAAGAAACTTAAAAGTACCAATAATGGCGAGATTGAATCCAGCAAAATGGGCAACTCGAAGAGAGAAACCTGTGATGGCGAATCTGTCTCGGAGTTTTAGTGTTGAGACACTGGACATTAACAAATTAAAGAGGACACAATTCCAAACTAAACCAATATGTTTCTGGCCAAACCATTGGTTAGTTTAAGTGGGGCAATTCATATGAAGAGCTTCATCGAAGCACTCAGACGTTTAGGTGAAGTCAAAAAACAAACCAAAAATCATTCAACTTTGTGCTTCTGTGGGTACACATGAGAGGGGTAGGGATGCGCGCAATTGCACACCAGTGAAAGCGGCAGAATTTGGATGATCGAAAAACACGCTACATTGTGCATTGTTTAGACCGCATCAAGCGTAAATCTTCAAAATGATGGGAAACCGCGCTCCTAATTAATTTTACCGAGATTGGAACCACTAATCTGCTAACACCCAAGTCCTTCACTCACGACCAACAGTTGCTTCTTCAAAAGAAAATGAGAGCTGGGATTAGGATCGACCGGAGATTTTATTGATGAATATTGTGCACCATCAAGACAAACTCGGTAAATCAATCATCCTAAACACAAATCATGATGTGCTGAAACAACACATATTGCCAATTGAAAGTCCTTAAGCAGATGACTTATAACGGCAGATCCTCCCCTCAACCAAATATCAAAAAGCTAAGAAGATAAATGAACGTATTTTGTATCACCAAACCATCAAGAGTCGAAAGAAATTACATTTGCCTGGCCCTTTTATGAGCAAAACAAAGGTTTACATCCAAGAAGTGAGATCAAAATGTCTTCTACAGGCATCCACAATCCAGAATTGTAATGTCATTTACAATCCCCGTTCGAAGATCAAGCACTGATCAATAATTTATAATCGTGAAAACGAAACAGCAATCTTTTTCATGCTTCCACTGATAAGCCCCCACATCGCATTCGTCCTCCTTTTGAATACCACACTTCAAACACAAATCAAGATAAAACAGATAATAGATGCGCCACGGAAACTTCAATACCAGCAGTCTTTTCTATCTTCCTTTTCCAAGTTACGTGCCCAAGTCACCAAATGATGCGAGCTCTGCAAGGTAAAGTTCGTGCTTAGTAATCACACGACATTTATCCACATGCACGGTCACACATAATTCGTATAAGTTCATGGAACCAAGGAGACTCCTCGGTAAGGGTGGCAATATTGGATGCAATAGAAACATGAAAACAAACGAGTAAAATCTTACATATTTGGATTTCGCATGACAAACACCACCTTAAACTCGCAAAACTCTACACGTTCTAACCCCTTACTACTAAAAGAAGCAATTAGTCATCATAATGAACACCTCTTTTTTGGCATAGACACAATCTCAACAGATTGACACAGTTGCCACCATGACTCCAAGAGAATTGAAGACAGAGAATTTAACGCTATTATAAGAAGGTCTTTTCCATCGGTTATTATTTACACGGTTTTTCTTTCACCTCATGGGTAAAGAGAAAGTCATTGTAGGGCACCAAGGGGGATGGGCGCAAACTGCAAACCCATATACATGATGAATGAGAAAAAACAAAGAACATCACTTACATTGCAATTTTGGAGGTGCTGTGGCAGCAATCACCGCATCATTCTCAGATGAATTAGCCATTTGATTAACGGCTTTAAGAACTTGAAATGAGCATGTTAAGTTTTCTTCCACATTCATCATTGCACCAAAGTTGTCACGTTCACCGCAAAAATTGGGAGCAGAAAATATGGTCACCAGTTGTCTATGGGCGAAGAATTCGTACCCATCTTCAACAACCTGTGACAAGCATCGTTAATAATGCTGCTGTTCCGTGGCTAAAGACCAAAAGAAGAAAGGATTAACATGTCATTAACCTGGTGGCCACGACAAATAAGGTCTATATCATGCTTTTTCAAGAATTTAGACACTGTATCTGGGCCAAAGGTAGATGAGGCACCTCGATCTCTCATTTCCCAGCCTTTGACATCCTCATCAGGATCTGACCAAAGCAAGTCGTGGAGCAGACCACAATCTGGAACATCACTTGGGCGTGGCAAGCCTCTAATTTGATCCAAATTTGTTAACTTGGGGGAAAGGCCACCATGCATGCATAATATGTTGCACTGTATGAGAGCGGCAACTGGAAGACAGTTGAAACAATCAATAAAGTTCTTCCAAACTCTAACCGTCATGCGGCATTTACATTCATCATAAAATCCACATATCCGATTCATGGACGTGCGCTCATGATTTCCTCGTAAAAGGAAGAAATTCTCGGGGAACTTAATTTTGTAGGCAAGCAGAAGGCAGATTGTCTCAAGACTTTGCTTGCTGTGATCCACGTAATTTCCAAGAAATACATAATTGGCATTAGGAGGGAAACCTCCATGTTCAAAAAACCTCAAAAGATCAGAGTAGTGCCCATGAATGTCACCTGGAAAAATAGAGTATGAGGTAAATGACTCGATCGACCAACGACACACTTGCGAAATATGGCTTGCAAGATAGAGTCATCGTCCAGAATAGGAATGTACTGTGCACAATTAGAAAACTTCATCCAATAGTCATTATTAACCACAGTGATAAAAAGGCTTGAAAATTGTGGATCTTTCCTTATGATTTTATACTAAATGGAGCACAGCGACATAATGAAGATGGATATACAGCTTGCCCTGCCTAATTAAAAAGGGTGGTTGCTTTAAGTGAAGCTTTTATATGCCCTAACCCCAGTAGACCTCATACATTAGGAACGCGATCAGCTTAGAGTTATAGAAGGATTAGACATTTTTCTTAGGTGACAAAAAGTTTGTCTCGACAAACATCGGATCACATTCTAACCTGCCATCAAGGAGAGAACTTAGAAACCTGACCACTCATCGAAATCCGAAGCAAACGCCATTTAAGTTCCCTTGGTGAGTTTCAAGAGTGGATCTCATGTGACATCCCTGGATTAACTCACTCAAGGTATCGTGGACAAGGCACTTTCTGAAAAGGTCACCCGTCCTAGTAACACTCTAACCTGGGCTCACTTAACTTTGAAGTTCCAAATCAAAGCCAATTCCAGTTCTGAAAAGGTCACCCATCTTAGTAACACTCTAACCTGGGCTCACTTAACTTTGAAGTTCCAAATCAAAGCCAATTCCAGTTTTCACACACACACACACACACACACACACACACACACACACACACACACACACACACACACATCTGTTCGGTGCACAATTCGATTTATTTCTACCCCTTTCGCCATTCCAGAAATCTGCCAGGAGTCGCTCCTTGTCCACACACACACACACATATATATATATATGTTCGGTGCACAATTCGATTTATTTCTACCTCTTTCGCCATTCCAGAAATCTGCCAGGAGTCGCTCCTTGTCCAAGCCGTTTGGTCCCGTTAACCACTCTCTGCCCTCGTCGAACCACCTAATGGAGGGGGTCCCACTTCGATACCATATTATGACATACCTGCCTTGGCTCACATAACTTTGGAATTTCAAAATAAAGCTTGCCATTATGTCAAAAGACGCCTTTGTAAGCTAATTTCAGTTTTCACATAAATATCTCAAGATCACTCTCCTTTTGTTTGGTGCACAATTTGGTTCATTCATGCCCCCTTCGCCATCCTAAAAGTTTGCGAAGAGCCACTCCATATCAACGTCCTCTAGTCCCGATGACCAATCCCCGCCCTCATCGAACCGGATCGTTACATCTCAAGACCTAATTATCCCTCAAACCAATTAAAAGGCCCAAACTTTCATGGTTTAGGTCACCAAATACCGTGACTCTGAAAACAAAAGCTAAACTTTAACCAAAACCGCCCAAAAGAAGCACAGCAACAACACACAAGAACCAAACACCGCAAGGTCCAAAATCAAGAGCTTCGTGGTGGCACATCTCAAAGACGCACAGAAAGACAGATTAAATTAGATAAGATAAGATCAATTAGATAACCTAAGATCTTGAGGTGGCCTTGGAGCTCAAGGAGATTGGGCTGTGCGAGGAAGATCTTGCGAGAGGCCAAGCAGAGCTGGCTGATCTCGGCCTCAGTGAGCGGGAATTGTTCTTGTGCTCTACTATTCCCGAAATCCAACAACCTGTTTATGATGTCGTCTAACACCACCATCTCCAATCCCTGTCCTTGACCTTGTTTTTCCATTCAATGTAACAGCCTGAATTTCGATGTAATTCCGGGATCAATAAAATTGACAATATTTCGCATTTCATTTTAGTAAGTCTCACCCAGAGCTGATCACTCTCGGGATACTAACCAATAGGGTATGGCTAATTAGAAAGCGGTACGTGGACCAAGGACCCGATCGCGAAGCGGACACCGATCACGAGAAATGATGAGAGAATATTATGAACCAATGTGGATCGATCTTAGGAAAGGTAACGAACTTGGTTTGGCCAAGGCCAACGATGTACAATCGGATCGCGAGGTGATTACGCACGGCCAGAGAGTACACGTGGTCAACCGATCCTAAACTTAAATCGGACGATCGTGACCTCTGGAACTAGTGATAATTTCTCATTCTCTCAATGATCAGGACCGTCATGACTCGGATAACCCTAGGTCGATACGCGTAACCTCTAGACAGCCGCCCGTTAGTGAGAGACACTGAAATTGGAAATCGAGCGAGTTTTGATCGCGAAATTGGGCCCGAATTTTGATGTCGAATTTCGATGGCTTAAGAGACTATTCTTGGAAATCTGACGTCATATTATGCTGGCCACGCATATTTTGAGTTAATACAGTTGAAAATTGGAATTTCGGTCCGGGGGTGAAAAATTACGATTTTGCCCCTCGAGACGCCAGCGTTGCTTTTCGAGGCCAAATGAGGTTATTTTTTTAGGCCGACGCTATTTTTGGGTGGCCACACATACCAGGAGTCGTTATGGCAAAAAATTGAAATTTCGACAAAAATTGGAAAAATAATATTATTTTATTCCCGGAACTTCGCAGTCGATTTTCGAGGGCTTAGAAAGTGAATTTCGTGATTCCGACGCCATATTGTGTTGCCCACGCACGTGGAGGGTTGGTACGGGCGAAAATTGGAATTTCGCCCCGGGACCGGAAAAATGACCATTTTGCCCCTGGGCTATGTTCGGGTCCGAATTTTTGGGAAATTATTTAGGATATTTAAGAGTGCTTATCAGCTGCATTATTGGACCAAAAGACCATTTTGTCCCTCAATTATTGGATACGATTTGTTTAGAACCGTTAGATTAGGGGCATTTTGGTCCGAACCGTTGGATTGGCGACACGTGGCACTTGTGGGCTGACTTATTTGACCAGCTGACCACTCTTTCTCTCTCCTCTCCCCCTCATTCAGCAGAAACACCACAGATCAGCCCCCACCAGCAGCTTCTCCCTCTTTTTCTCTCATTTTTCTCTCTCGGCTTGGCTTGCCGGAGCTCGCCGCCGGTCACCGGAGCACCGCCGCCGGCCGCCGTGCCTCGCCGCCGACCACCTCAGCCCCCAGCCTCAGCCTCACCCTTGTCCGGCCCCTTTTTCTCTCTATTTCTCTCTCTTTCTTCCTCTTTTTCTCTCTTTCCCGTCCGGCAAAAAGGGCCGTCGGAGCTTCGCCGGAGCTCCGATCGCCATTCCGTCACCACCCAGCCGTCCAGCCCGCTCGTACGTCGTTGTTCATCGGCGGCCGTATAGTGTCCGTACGGTCGGCACTGTAGCAGTCCGTACGCCGCCGTCAGTACGGCCGGCTGTGGCCGTCACCGCGGTCTCACCGGCCACCTGTTTCCGCCGTCCGTACAGGTCCGTACCGTCCGCGAACAGTACCGTCCGTACCGCCGTGAACAGTGCGTCAGTACCGCGTGAACAGTACGCGCCCGGGAATTCCGCCGCCGATTTCACTGTTCATCAGTGATCGGCCGCCGTTCCCCGTCGCCGTGGTCCAGAAATTAAGTGAGTAAAATTCCTAAACCCGGATTAGGACTGATAGTGCGTTTTTCTGGACTGGTTTAGGTATTATCGGTGCATTTTGGACTGGCTTAGGTAGTATCAGTGTATATTTCAAACTGATTGATAGAAATTATTATTGGGAAAATTTAGTGGATTAATGAGAATTATTTGGGGAGATTAATTGGATTAAATGACCAATTTAGGAGCCCATTGGAAAATGATTGGGTATGTCCGGGTTGACTGGTTGTACATGATTTGTGCTTAATTGGGATTGATTTCGTACTACCATGTCGCATGTCGTGTGGCTAAATTATGTGGAGTGCGATTAGCCAATGATTGGTTTGAAATTAATTATTGAATCGTGAATCGCACGTTGGGCCACACGGTATTAATTGGGCCAATTGAGCACGTGTTGTGATATTGAGTGATTGAATTTCATTGGTGCTCATGGTGCATTGCATCGCATAACATGGACACGCATTATGTATGCCTAGAGTGAGGCATGTGGTGGAATTGTGCGAGAATACGTGCCTGCCATGAGTGTGTGATCACCTAAAATACCCCGAAGCGTCATACGCTGGGTTCAGATAATAATGAGTTGTGGGATCACCTAAGGACCTTTGGGTCATGACCTTCGGGTCGATACCGTCCTCATGCACTTTGAAGCAGGACGATGCCCGGTACGTCCGGAAGACGACCATCCTCATGCACTTTGAAGCAGGCTCTGGTTCGTAAGGAGATCGGTGTTGCACCACATGCACTTTGAAGCAGGCTAGAGACACTGGGCCAGATCGGTTGCTGCGCCTCATGCACTTTGAAGCAGGCTAGACACACCGGGCCGTGAATGTTGTTGACTCGAGTCGTCGTAATAAATAATAAATTGGGCGATTGCCAGTGTAGGCCAGTGGGCCGGGAAATGCGCGTGACATGTCGATGACATTTGCAGGCATGAACATGCATGGACTGGCATGCGAGTGTGTGAGACTCGGTGCATGAGCATGTGATTGGCGTACGTGTGATAATGTGTGCCACGTACGTGCCGTGACTATTATATGTTGATCTGTCTAACCTGCAGGGTCAGAGAATGGTTTGATTATTGTTGTATTGTGATTTAAATATTTGTTTCCGGTCAGGAGATTGCATGCTAGCCTAACCTAGGTTTAGGGGTTGAACTCACTGAGATTCGTCTCACGGTTGTGTAAATCGAAACTTTTCAGATCCCCAGCCGTAAAGATGCCTCCGAGGAGTTGCCAGATGATTCTACCGAGTCGTTCGACCCTGACTGGGAGCCCTAGAGTAGGCCGGTACCCTGGGAAGCGAAGACCGTCTCTTTTTTAATAGCATTCATATCCTAGTTAGCCTAACCACCTGTGCCACTTACCCTTTTTGATATAGTGACAGTTAAATACTGATGTTGAGGTTTTTGGAGTTGTACAATTGGATAGTGTAAAAAGGTTTTACTATAACAGTACAAGTGTATATTCTTGTTTGATGGCTGTTCTACCTTGGTCTCACGTGTGTTGTTTTGTACGAGTGTATATATATATATATATATATATATATATATATATATATATATATATATTTTTATTTATTTATATATATATATATATTTATATACGTTGTTTTCGCATGTGACTTATCTCTGATTGGGCGTTGGGTCGGCGACGCATCCTGGGAGCGTTGCATCACAAACGACCGGAGATGGGTTGCTCGCGCTTCGTGGGGTACGGGGCGTGACATTCAATGATCAATTTATGGTCAGCTTTTTCCTTTTTGCTCCGTTATAGTCGTTGTTCTGTTATTCGATGAAGGCAACGTAAGGTAACGACTTTCCTATGGACGAACTGAAAGGAGACGATGCAGTTAGGGTTGTGCAATTATTGAACCGACACATGATTACTAATGATCAGGGAAGGAACAAACACGATGAAGAGAGAAGGAGAAGAAGAAGAAGTACGGAGAGAGAATGGAAGGGCCTCTGCAACTCTGATGTGGCGATGCCCCTACACCTATGAAATGATGGAGAATGTCCAAAGCTCCTTCTTGAGCCTTTTCACCTCACTAGTTAAGGAAGTGAAATGAATGCAGATCTCCCGCCACAGTCTTCTCTTTCTCTCGATTGTCCTCTGAGTTGGCATGTTATTTCCAAACTGCCCCTCCTCTCTCTCTCCCTTTCTCTTATATTTGATTATTTTCTTTCCTTCTCTTGTTTTCATGTATTGGGGAATTTTGGTGACTCTTCGGATCAAACACTCCTAATCAGCTTGGGGAGACTCAAATCCTATAAAAATAGAAAAAAGGCTAAATACAGAAAATCACAGAATTCGGTGAGCATCGATCTAGGGTAGACTCAAAAACCAAACTAGACAGACCTTACCCGGCTGATTCAAGTTTGGCTCTTGGTTCTAGGTACAGAATTAGACCAAATTGAAGAATCGGACTGGACCGATAGGGTTCGTTCCAAGATCGCTCTTAGGGTCTACATGATAGATTACAGGTTCCAAAAACTGATAACCGGTCTCGACGTGATAATTTCCAAGTTCCAAGTCTTGAACTTACCCATCTTTTGAACAAGAAAAAGAACTTACCCACCCTGGTGTTGCTCACTCCTACTTCACAATCCCATATTGAAATTATACTTAGGACTAATCCAATTGAATGCTGAGAACCAAAAACTCAGCACTTAATGCTATTAAGTTTGTTTGATAACCATCACTAACGACTTTCAAACAACTACTAAACACGATAAATAAGCAACGGTTATTTAATTCGTTAAGTAGAAAAGCAATTAATGACTATCAAAATTTTACCAATTATATTATTAAAACATATCAACAATGATCACAATTCCATATATGACAAACTTAATTATATTTAATCATCGATCCATAACATTTGCGGAGCTATCATTAACTCAAATCCTTATGCTCATTTTTAAGATGAACAGCTACATCTAGTTGGTATGTACAGAGATATAGCGATAAAACCATCTAAATAGAGTACCCTCAAGGATTTTTTTAGTTATGTGCGTGGGTTTGGCTTTGATGCAAGGTCCATTCCTATTATGATTTGGTTTAGCATTATGTCGTCACATGTATATCCATCTCATCACGCATAAGACAAATCGAGAAAAAGAATAAGAATGTGTAAGATTATTTATCTTTAAGCATGAGATAGATACAAATCAAGAATTTCTGGGAAGTTAAAACTTTTCGCTAGATCATTTTAGTGTTACGTCGGAGAAAAGAAAATCACTTAAGTGCTTCTGATGAAAAATTCTTACAATTCATTTTACATGGCATGTTTAATAATATTTTATTTCTTATTTGACTTTTCTTATAAAAAGAAGGGTTAATACCACAAAAAACCCCAAACTGGTACATCTGTGACAATTTTACCCCAAACTAATTTTTTTACCATGAAAAACTCCAAACTTGTAAACCTGTGATAAATTTACCCCAAACTAATTTTTGACCACCAAAAACCCTGAACTGGTACATTTGTGACAAATTTACCATCCGTTAGTTTTCATTAAATTGAATTCATACCACAAAAAATCATAAACTGGTATGTCTGTGACAAACGGAGGGTAAAACATAAAATTGGTACATCCTTCAATTACCGCGTATTATTTAACAAAGCAATTTGATAGTAAAATTTAACGAAAATAAACTGAGGGTAAATTTGTTATAGCTGTACCAGTTTGGGATTTTTTGTGGTCAAAAAATTAATTTTGGGTAAAATTGTTACTGACATATTAGTTTGGGGTTTTCGCGATATTAAGACAAAAAAAAAAAAAGGCCAACGTAGACGTGGACATTTTTTATGATCTTTTTTTTTTGCTTGACTTGCTCGCTCTCTTCCTCTCTCTCTCTCTCTCTTCTTTAATCATACCCAAAACATATTCAAATCAAAAGGCCATGAATTACTTCGCAGATTTTGAAGATCAGCGCACGACGGTGGCAATGGACATCCACCACGCCGATCCGCTCGAGATCGTCGGCAAGAGAGTTCTCTCCGTTGACAACACGCTCGCCGACTCCGCCTTCAACTGATCCAATTCCACTGCTCCTTCTTAGTAATGGTTCTCTATCTTCCCCTACGCTTCGCATCTTCTACCCTAGGGTTCATTTGCCCTTCTTCCCAAAAGAAAAATGAAACTTGTCAGTCCTTCTCGGGGTAATGGATTGCCGTTAATCACTTTCTCAATAATTTTTGTCCGATTTTTCCTCTTGAATGCAACCCCACCCTCCTCCAAATCGAATCAATCACACACAAGTTTCAAAACCTCTCAATCCAAGCATCGCCTCCATACCCAAATCTGCACGACCATCTCCGAACCCTAACTCGGCCATCAAAGAAACCCCAAGCGGAGAGCACCTGGTCGAAGTCATTGGCCGAATCTGCGACTACCCGAATTGCAAGAACAATTGGATCTTGCAAATTTACCCACATAAGCAAACTTTCCGCGTCCATGAGGAGTTTGGATTCCGCTACTTCAACCTCGACAAAGTCTCTCCATCTGAGGATGAAGATCTCGCTGCGTTCTGTAAGAAGTTCGTGGAGTCGAGGATCAACAGGGTGAAGTTAGGGGTGAGCCCAGATTCGGGAGGTCGGCGAACTAGCTCAGCTATGCCTCGGGCGATAGAGGACACAATGATGCGAGCAGCAGTCTTTTCTGTCTTCCTTTTCTAAGTACAGTGACTCCGAAACGACACCTAAACTTCAACCAGAACCGCCAAAGGAACCACATGTCACTGTCTCGAGGTTTCCATGCACTAAGGACGGGCAATATAAAGACTTGTCCAAATTCTAAAGAGGTTTTGTAATGTTCCCAGAGACTGGCGATACGATAATTATAATGTGTTCTAGAATTCTCTTGCATCTAGTGGCGGTAGTTGGTGGACGGAGAGATGCGACCTCCTCCGCTAGATCGAGAATCGATCAATGGTTGTAACAAGAGGCCTTCTAATATAAATAGAAATACTCTCTCCCTCATTTATAACCATACAACAATTGAAGCAATACAATCCATTCTCTTTTTGAATTTCTTGGCCAGCCGATCTTGGCTTCGTTTCCTGCTCCTCACGCTGCTGTTCCCGAAATCCAACAACCTTCATCTCCAATCCCCACCCTAAACCTTGTTTTGCCATTCAACATCAATCAATAATCCGTTTTTTCCTTTTTCGTCCGTAATAGTTATTGCTGCAGTTATACAATGAAGGCAACCTAAGGCAACACCTTTCCAATGGAAGAATTCAGTCCTAGGCATTACATGGTAAATTACAAGTTCCAAAAATTGAGAACTGGTCCGATAGGACATGTTGCAAGTTACAAGTCTTGAATCTACCCATACTGAAACCGCTCACTATAGTTAGGAATAGTCCAATTGAATGATGAGAATTCAATAACCATCCCTAACAATGACTTTCAAACAACCGCTAAATAGGATAAATAGCAATAGTTATTTAATTCGCTAAGTGGAAAAAGTAATTAACGACAAGTCGAACCTTACCAATTTTATTACTAGACATATCGACAATGACCAAAATTCCATTTTTGACAAGAACTTAAATTGTATTTCATCATCAATCCATAATGTTTGCGAAGTTATCATTAACTCAAATCTTTATGCTCATTTTTTGATGAAAAACAGCTACATCTAGTTGGTATGTACAGAGATATAGCGATAAAATCATATAAATAGAGTAACCTCTTCTTTTAGTTAAGTATGTGGGTATGCATGGTCCATTCCTATTTTTAGTATTATGTATATTCATCTCATCAGGCAAAATCCGGATAGAGGAAAAGAATAATATTATGTAAGATTATTTATCTTTTAGCATGATATAGATCCAATTCTGTCATTTCTAATATTTAGAAGAAACTTTGAACCAAGCTTACAATATTTTCCACTCTTTGAAAATATATACGTCCTGAGTAGCATCCATGATTAAGCTGAAAACATTTTTAATTTAATATTTTTCTGTCATTTTGTTTATCCTCTTGATTATCTGTTTTGCTGCTAGAAGGTCACCTAGCCCAAACAAGTGTCCACTAGAGCAAGTTAAAAATTGGTTGAATTCCTACATCCTCACGGCAATTGACAGAGCGCAAATCACATCAAGAAAATTGAGATAAAAGTGATGAGAGCGGAATCAATAACAAGATGCACAGACTCTCTCTCTCTTCTCTCTCTCACATTTGAGCATGGAAATAATGGATGTCTTTCTTTCATTGGTGAAAGAGCTAAGACGGGACAACCAGCGCTAACGGCCCTCTTTGAAAGTTATTATAAGGGTCACATATCCATCACCATGCATCAGACAATTCGGCAATGGATTTTCTAAAGTTCTATCTCGTGGAAAATAGCTTGTCGTTTTACTACTTGATGTGGGACTTCCCACATCTGACAACTAAAGAGAAGTTCTGGGGTTTATAAGCGTTTGCATTCCCTCTCTTGGCAAGCTGAATTTTCGGAATGAGTTCTTCCACCCTTTATATATACCCATTAACATGGTATCAGAGCCACTCTTCGGATGCACACCTTCTCAAACCGATAAAGTTAAACCAGAGGCATATTTAAGAACTCTGGTGAAAATGCAGGAACATATTTAGAAGAAACTTAAAAGTACCAATAATGGCGAGATCAAATCCAGAAAATGGATATCGGTGAGACACTGGACATTGAAAAATTAAAGAGGGACACAATTCCAAACTAAACTAATATGTTTCTGGCTAAACCATTGGTTAGTTAAGTGGGGCAATTCTTTGAAGAGCTTACTACGAAAGGAGCCATTTCTACGTAGATTGCAGCAAAGTAATCATGTCTAGGACCTCTCCTTGGCATCGAAATTATATAGCGATGATCATTCTATTGTTTTTTTTTTTTTTATAACCGAGGTGTCCGCGCGGCCGGCAAGCTAGGGCTCAAACCAGCGGTGATGCCCGACTAGTCCTCAAGGGGGGCTAGCGCAGCATCCCACCGCAACGACCCCCCACTTAAATCACCGATGGGCGAGTTTGAACCCAGGACCTCTCGTGAAAGGAATTGAGCGCAAACCAACGTGGCCACCGATGGATGGGTGATGATCATTCTATTGTTTGCGATAGCAAATTCTAATATTACTGAAAAGGGAAGGTGGATACATATCTAGAGCAACGATTTGGATTCAATCTGCCATGTTTCAACTGGGTACAAGCAAGTACAAAATTGTTGTTAAGAGGGTATGATCCCTAACACGGCCACTAGAAACACCTAGTGCTCCTGCACAATTAAACAAGAAATAGATTGTTTGAAAAGGCAGATTTCTTACAAAAACAAAACCAACAACCATTCGAAAGGGTTTTTGCTAGACCATCAGTATGCTAGAAGAACTCCATTCTTGGCCTTCATTTGGGTATGAATTTATCGTGCTAACCAGGAGGCATCTAAATAGCAAGTAGAGAAACATGAGCCTTTGAATAATTCTACTCGTCTTTCTCACGTGGTTGAGAGGGACCTTCAGTCGACTCTATAGGCTTTTGGACGCTAGCTCTCGCCTGTGCAAGAAATGCAGGATCTGGTTCATGCTTATCTGAGGGCTCCTTCATTGCCAAGTATATATAGAATCCAATCACAGCATTGACTGATATAACAGCAAGCAATCCACTCCACAGCGTCAGAGAATGAGGAGATAAATCGCTTGAACCTGCTCCATAAAAGGGAAAGGAAATGTTGACGACCGAAAACACAAGCCTAGAGTAAATTTGATTAAGCAAGTGATATGTGTAACCCAAGAATAAGATAAATTTAATAGGAAATGTGCTCTCATTATGGACACCACGCGTCAGGTCCCAACAAATTAGCATGATCGTCAGTTGCAAAGGTTCACTGAGAGAGAGAGAGCAAAAATTGCAGAAAACCTTTCCCTAAGGTTGCATCTGGACGTGACCAGATTTGAGCACAACCATGACATTCGATAAATTTTCCCAATGAAGATAAATTTTGTTGATCACGGAGTAGGTTCAAACATATTAATTGTTCAACCAAACACCATTTCTTCATATGAAGAACTAACGGGAAAAAAAACGAACATAGATGTCTATAACTTCAATTACCCATCTATGACCCATTTGATTGCATCCTTCAGTTATCAAGTGTAACTGAAAATTCTTTCTTACTAAGAACAAAAAATTCTTAACCTGGTATAACTTCAATTTAAAGCACAGAATACCATAATGATCATGACGAAAGTCACAAGCCTGACAAGAGAGAATATTTGCTTAGCCAAGTGGGGCCAGTTCATTTTCTGACAGTCTCCCTCTAGACTAAACCAAGTACATCTGATTACAATTTGACAGAAAAACATGGCAGATTGGATCTAAATCCTTGCTCTAGATTAGAGAAATCATCCTAAACTTCACCTTCAAAGTCAAAGTCACTAGAACACAAAGGATTTGGCACACTATATAAATACCCACACGACCATAATTTGAGCAAGTAGTTAATATTGAAGTTAGACAACTAAAAGAGGCAAAAGGGATTTCTTTCTTGAGGTATTCTACTTCTAAAGGTAAGCACATGCATGAGACACAAGTCCACAGACACCAAGAGTCTAAAGGTATACTAGAACAATTAGAACAAGGAATAGCTTATTTTATTTTTTATTTTTTTTCCCTTATCATGCCAAACAGAAGATTTTGGTGGAAAATCATTTTTACAGCCTTAAAATAAATGATTTACAGGACAGACAAATGACAATAAGAAGTAAAAACTGCACATTTATTTTCATCTGTCTGCTCCAACATTTAAAGAAAACAACAGAGAAACTCCAACAAAAGCATATGCCTGGAATCACTTGAGTCTTTGATCTGAGATCAGCAGAACCAATTCAGCCAAAAAAAAGACACTAGAAAACGTATCACGTGACCGGAGGTTGAGAAATGAACTCACAAGGCCCAAAAAATGCACGGGAACCTATGACTGTCCATTTTAAAATGATAAGAGAACACCCACTTGCCACAATCCAGAACTCGTCCTGGCATACACACAAGTCTAGCTATACAAACCCACCACCGATTATTATCAAGGCAAAGTGAGACCAAATGCAAGACCAACACAGATCACAAATCTAGGTTAGAATCTAAATTGATCACAAAACATACAGCCAAATCCTTCTAAATTATTGATCTTGCAAGAGATGAGCATAAAGAAATCAATGAAATACACTAGGGGGCTTTTCTCTGAGATAGTTATACTAATCAGCTTATTGCAGACCATGTTGCAAAAATATATACTTACCTGGAAAGACATTATGGTTAAAACCATATAAAACTGCAACTGGAATTATCCACATAAGCATTGATGCCAGTAAGAATTTCTCTAAAACTCTAGCCATAGCAGCCCCGCTCTGCCAAACAAACAAGTATTGTCACTGCAAAAACTATCTATATAGCATAAAACTTTCTGGCCGACCATGTACACAAAAGAAAATTAATGATCATGTGGACAATGGACAAGCACAAGCACAAGCACAAGTGGATATATGGACTTGCATATATCTGAGAGTAAGAGAGAGAGAGAGAGAGAGAGAGAGAGAGAGAGAGAGAGAGAGATTATCATGCCTATCCACATCTGCGGCTGATCTTTTTCATTGGCCTAGTAAAAAGTTGGTCCGTAAAGCTAAGTTATGAAATTCTTCCAGCATATTCAGACAATTTAGGTCCATGGTCCAGGAAAGGAAACTTTTAGGCCCAAATTTATAAACAAAGGCTGCCCTCGTGACATTTTACTACAGAAAGTGAGTAGTCACTTTCTTACAGGGATTTCTTCTCATATCCTTTATAGGCAAATCTTCTGCTATCTCTCTTTCCCCGCAATGGTAGCTCCTAGTGCCTTAGTACAATGAGCTTTTAGTTCACACAACTTTAAAGTTTGCTGGGCTCTCTCCAAGAGTACAAGTGATTTTTTAGGCATCAGAAATTGGTCTCTTACCAACACCAATGTCATATCGTGAATTGTCAACAAGGTCTCCTAGGGAAGTGACAAGTCCAAGAAAGAGAGCAATCAACAATACTCTGCAGCAACTGCTTCTGCTTTCATAAAGGCACACCAACTCCAGCAAAATGTTTGCAAGGTTGTGACAATTGAGATCCTAATACATACGAATAACACAGCTGTATGGTACAGACAGCAGCTCACATGAAAAATAAAGGAAGAAGAAGAGTCTCCCTTCCCCAGAGCTTTGTCTTGGGTTGGTACTTCCTTTTTCATGAGTAAAGACACTCAAGCCCTCGCAATCTTCAACTTTCCCCTCTCTCCCCAAAGTATTTTGCTTCGTTCTCTATTCCCTGGTTTGTCATTATGGACTAAGCTTCAAGAAGGAAACGGCCCAGACGAAGAGACATTGGGCAGAATTTTACTTTTAATGTGCTGAAAGAAGTCAACTTATATGTTATCCAGATCAGTAGAATTAGATAGGTATCAAGACCCTTTAAATCTGATCCCGCTATCCACCTCTCAATCCCAATGACAGAAAAGATAATATCTTTCTAATGATCCTGAAAGTTCTTTGAGAACTCAGACTCTAAGCCTTCTCCCCAAAGATCAAGCTCAGTTGCACAAACATACTGAAAGCTGACCACAAGCTGCGGCAAACACATCAAGTCTCCTCTCAACGAGTAACAACCAGCAACCTTCTAACAGCCCATGCCCATATGCTCATCCTCAGTGGAAACACAGTGTCAACCTACTCATCAACTGTCTCCATTTTCTACTTTTACCTGTTGAACCGGGTCTTTAACGAAGCTTCAATTGAACTTAAACTAATCTAGCACCAACAAGAAAATTTCCGCAAGAGCTCCAAGTGATACCTCAGCATCATTAGATAATAGGGATAATGACACAAAATGTCCCTGAACTTTGTCTTAATGTGCAATGTGGTCCCCGAACTTTTAATTTGTTCAATGTGGTAAACTTTAGCTCAATAGGCAATGTGGTCCCTAAACTTTTAATTTGTTCAATGTGGTCCCTGGACTTTTGATACATGTTCAACTTAGTCCCTAAACTATATGAAAATGTTCAATATTGTATTTCCATTAATTTAAGTTCAGGGACAACATTATATATTTTCATATAGTTCAGGAACTAAATTGTACATGAACCAAAAATTCAAGGACCACATTGAACAAATTGAAAGTTCAGGGATCACATTGCACATTGGGCCAAAGTTCGGAGACTTTGCGTTATATTCCCTAGAAAATACATAACCAGCAAGCAACAACCACAATCCAGCATTAACGAAAACACAAATTTGCATTGCACTTTATATCCACATAACACATATTCACATTCACTCAAAGAAGACACGATCCAGAATTCACCATCAGAAGAGATATGTAACGTAGATGTGATCTGCACTCCAATGTATTAGTCTACATGATCAGTCTATACTTCATAAACTCACCAGCGACCATCAATGAGTATTTACAATTCAGCACATCAACATTTTTAGCCAATTTCACATAGTCAAGCTTATTGCCTTAGAACACTGGAAGAGTATCTAGACTGAGACCTTCGGGAATGGACTCAAAAGTGAATATCAACGAGATTTACACAACTTATACAACTGGTACAGTGAATCATTCAAGCAGACAAGATGATCTCAGTCAGATTCGTAGTCATATACTAAAACGACACAGGCATTTCACCAAACATTTAATGTGCATTCAGTTAAAAGGCACAATGTAGCAATGAGATAGTGAGAATCACAACCCAATCAGTACGAGATCATCAAGACTGAATCAAAGTCATTAATATAGTCTCAGACATGAACAATTTTCATGCTAGCAACAACAAAGCTCTTGGTTTCTATTTTACAGGCATAACAATTAAAACAGAACAAAAAGCTTCTACCTTAGCGAGGAGCGATTGTCGGTCACAATTGATTGTTCAACTAACCAGAGAGAGTCTTGGATGCGTCGGCAGCGATGATCAAAGTCAGTGAAGGAGAATCGAACAAGCTGTGAGTACTTGGAGCACTCTGACTGGATATCAAAGCAAAACCGAGAAAGTCCAATCCAACGATACGTTTGACAATCTGAGAAATAGAGGAAACTTAGCTTCAGCCTTATTGATGATGATGAAGTCCTATGCTCCCGGTCAATGGTGATGCAACTAGATTTCATGGAGAGAACTGTAGAGCTATGTCTCGAATTGCGATGATGAAGCTTTGGACGAGTGTCTGTGCGTTCTCTCGCTTGTACGAATCTCTGTTCTAGCTACGTGTATCTATGGTGATCGACGACTGATAATGTGAAGGTCTACATCCTATCTTCCTCACTTGTGACCTAGAAAGACTTGAGACTGAGCCATTTCTTCTCCTCTTTGGGGCTTTCTAAACGGTTTTTCATTATTATTAGACTTTCTTGCGAAAAACTTGTACTCAGCTTATCGACAGGTGTCTAACATTCACTTATTTCCTACTCCCGTTGATTGTCGAGTACACAAGTCAGAGAACAAAAGGTAGAATTATAAAATCAATTCACATTGTCTACGGGTTCTCTGTTAAAGGTGTGCTAAAGTTCCTGGCGATAAGTGGGATCAAGAGGCTCCGAATTGTTAAAAGTATCTCAAGTGTGGAATTAGTTCACATCGATTACAGTCCAGCAACAGCATCAGAAAAGGCATTAACTGTAGCCTTCCTCAACTTATATTGATCTCTCTGTGGCCATCACTGCCGAATGGGACAGACAGACAAAACCCTCAAAGGGAATTTGAGCCATAATTTGCACCTCCCCATGAGCAAAATGGTTCATGAACATTAGATGAGACTTAGAGTTATACATATTGACTAAAGAACCCAAGAGGAAAAAAAGGAGGAGATAACAGAGGCAAAGCAAAATAAACTTTTGCTGACCCTCGTTCATTCAATTTAAAGCAAGTGAATGATCAGAACTCAACCCCAACACAGTCCAAGAAACCACATCTCTCTATCAGACATTCCACCAAACACTCCACGTGCACTCACTTCTCCAGCACTTACCACGCTCATCAACGAGCACATCCCCACAAAGCCCAAGTAAGATCGCTCCCAAAAACCACCCACCACCGATCCCACAAGCAAAAAACCAAGATACTTCCCACCCCTCTCCGTCTCCAACAAGTCTCGATTCGGCACAAGAAGCAAGATGAGCGAAAGCACTTTACCCCTTTTCCGCTGACCGCGTGACCGAGGCCTGGACGTGAGAAGAGGTCCTCAATCGACCGTCCGGCGAACCGTCGGAGAAGCTGTTCGCGGTGTTGTGTGGACCGAGAGTAATTAATCGTTATGTAGTAATCAAGTGCAGGATGTCTCCGACCGAAAATAAATGAAAGAACATGAATTCTTACGTTTTTATGATATATTAAAAAGGCCGTACATGTATAACGCTTTGTCGTATTCAAGCATAGAACGTCGTAAAATACAGATTTTTAACCTTATGACTTTGTATTTCGACCCAAAAAAAAAAATTCCTATGACTTTGTACGAGTGTTTACTACGTCTCGTCGTATTCGAGGCCAAATGGTCTTAAAGCGTAATTTACATAATTTGCAACATTTTGCCTTCGAAAATAAAGAGTTAAACATATCGAATTATGTTTTGTATTCCATGATCTCAATGTTGATTTGTAAGCAAATGCAAATGCAAATGTAATTTCTTTATGTATTTTACGATATTCTTTGTAAATACAATATGGCGTATTGTAAAATGTGATGCAATGTTACGTCACTCCGTAATACATAAGAAGTGTTTGATTTATTATGAGGCCATGGTGTTTTATCATGCTTATATTGAAAATGTCCACACAAAAAAAAAAAACAAGCGAATATAAAAGATTCTAAGATTTAATATCGCATAGCAAGGTGGTTTTTAATTTGTCAATCTTTGTTTTTATGTTTTCTTGTTAAAAGAGGGAGCTGCATATCGGCTTTTAGGCCCGGTCCAACTTCACCACCAGGCCCTAATTAATTCGATTGGAGTGGAGCCTAATCCAAGTCCGCAGACACGTTCACTTACAATTAATCCATTACAGAATGTTCGAACTGGGTCATATCAATCCATTCTCCCCCGCTCTCGCCCTAAACGTATATGTTACGGACAACCCAGCATGAGCCGTTCGGAAATTCGCTCGCGACGGTGAATCAAGTTTGTGACCTCGTGGGAAACAAGCCGACTCTTTTACTACTATGCCGGCCGACTGTGCGGGGATTCAGTGTTCTTTTTGTTGGCGACTGAGAGATCGTTCTGTTTTGGTTTCAAGATTTAAAAATTTTGAATTGAAATTGTACACTGTGTCATATGAATCTATCCTGAAAATTGAACTTTCTAATATACCCTAGTTGGCATGCTCCTATAGAAAGCTAGAACATAAAAAATTGAAGCTGACATGGTTTTGAACTTTTTCTCAGCACATCCCGAAATACTATTTCTATTTTCTTGAACTTATCCGTCCACAGCATTCTCAAAATATTTAAACATTTAACGTCAATTGGCAAAATTGGAAAGTTTAATAGAGGTTTAGGATGTTTTGAATAATTTTCCCAACTTGTCTAAGAGACCATTGAAAAGATAGATGGTATTGCCTAGGTCTCTGATGCCATTTTTGATGCGCGGGTCTTCAACCGCCGACATTATAATGAGATTGGGTAAAGAAACAAAAAACACGCGGAGAATACAATGACATTAAGGTGCTTTTATTTCCCTTTCTAATGTTAGAGATACTAAGACTTGTCCGCTAAATTGGTTTACTTAGTAACATATGCGCCACTTGGTGAGTGATTATTTAAGTAAGTGAGCCCATTTAAGCAACTAATAAGACTCCACCGGACCTGTAAACGACTCTTAGTTATTGTAGTGTTATTCCTTTCAATGTACATAGAATAGATGGATCCGAAAAGCAACCACCATGAGCTTAAGTTCACCAATTCCTCCTCCCTTCAATTTTTTTAATTGTTCAAGAGGTAAATCTTTTATGTGAGAGTCAAATATTGCTATAGTGGGAAGAAAGATTAAGGAATTACAAGGTGGAAAAGGTTTGATAATCATAAAATTTCAAAGGCGGCACACCGAAAGTTGCCATTAGTCTCTGTGAGGTGGTGCTACTGCACCAGTAGAGCGATTTGGATACAGCAGACAGAGACTAAGAGAGTCCCACTTCACGTGACCCACCTGGACCAGAATCAGCTGGTGATACGTCTCTTTTATAAGACTAAGTGGTTTGGAAAAATGAACGAGGGGACATTGTTATTATCTGCTTTAATTGCTTTGATCTAACTTTTTGTCGTTCAACTTTGGCTCGTGTTGTCGACCGACTTGGGTGACTGGCAACGGCATCTTTGACTTCTACGAGCAAAACGAAAGAGGGTTGATGATGGGTAGGTCCAACCAATATTGTCTGCATGCTTCGGAGCTGCCATCACATGCAAAATAGAAAATGACTGAGCATTATATAGTCGACGACATTTGTTTTTTTAAAGTCTTGGTCGTGATGACAGAGGGACACTACATATGTCTCCACTGGTGTAAAACTTGCCGAGTTGCCATGACAAAAGCCGTCACCTAGCTCAAATGAGACCGCTTTCTTTTTTAGATTTACCAATGAGAGGACATGACTATATTATAGCTTATATCATGATAGCACATTAAGTTTTCTTGTTGTACTAATGCCACCCTTCAATAATTCAATCAAAATTCCACATAAGTTCGGAGACTGAAAAGATTGAGAGTTCTAACTTTAAATGAAGCATATCTTGCCTTAAATCGCGCTTCAAGAATATCGTATACTTTCGTCATTGTAGTTTGGCCAATGCATCACCAAAAAACCCATGATAAATATTATGTTTTGTTTAGAGTGATTTAGAGGAGATTGAAGAGGGTTTGCAAATAACCTTCTATTTGCTTTAATAGATCGAGGGGAGAGGAACGATTTGAAGTTTCCCCCTCGGATTATCCCTGTTAATATTTAGTGAGTTCTAAATCCCTCCATAAGTAGGATGATTAAGCTAGGAAATCGATTTCATTCCATTTCTCTTCTATCTTAATCTGTCTTGCCAAACACAACGGATTAATTAATCCGTTGTTTTCTCTTCTTTTCTTTTCTCAAATAATTTATCAAATCCTTTATCCTCTTCGAAATCATTCCATTCAAATATAGTGTTCTTTCAAGCCAAGAATAGAAAGTAATAGTATGGATCACACATTTTTTTTATGATGCCAAGTCGAGGAACTCGAACTAGGATGAGAGAGAAACGCAATTGCATAAGGATTGATATTCAAGTTATCCTGAATCCCTCATGATAGACGTTTATCACATTACATTGGAGAAAGCCGAAGATTGAGATGGAAGGAATTAGTTACTCATAATTAATAATTGCAGAATTGCTATAAATTTTGAAAATAAATTTAAATGATAGTTTTAAGAATCATTGGATTCTCAAAAGATGATATGGCAGTCATTTGAAGATGTTAAATTGACCCTCAAATTAAGACAATCACGATCAGAGTGATAAAAATAAAATAAGTTCAATAAAATCTGACAGCTAGCACATTATCAAAGGCTTTACGAATGATCACAAACCCATGTGAGAATTGAGTTCCTCCTATTTAGGGAAAAATAGAATACAAAATCCTGCGTCTCCATTTTTTAGAGATTTTGAAATTAAAAAGGGTCTTGTTAATCCATGCGTAATAAATAAATATTTTCATTTTCAATACACTGATTGTGTATTATACGAAAAAGACAATAACTTTGAAAATGACAAATTTTCTTTTATTTAGATGTTAAACAAGTGCCCCCAAAGACACTCATTAATGTGATCCACATAATACATGGGAACGGAAAATTTTTATCAAAATCTTCTTGATTTGGCTTCGATTTAGGCCGAAATTGGATGTGTAAATCAACACTCCTTATCAAACTAGTCGTTAGGATAGGCCAAAGACCGCATTTGTGTCCAAAATGAATAAAGACATTACAAGCAAGGGGCTTCATAATTATGTATGTTAATTGTAATAAGGATGATACATACTAAATGATGACAGAACCAAGGGCGACTATTTACCGAACAAAGTTAGAGTCAATTTGAATACGTTTCGCTCTAGCACCAAACATGGGATTGGTGGTTATGAGGTTTTTGGACTCCACTATCCCTAAAAATGAAGGACATTTAAGTTAATTCTGCCGTCGTAAGAAACAATGCATAATATTTCGCTTCAGCTGTTGAGTGAGCAACTATCGCTTGTTTGTTTACAATCCAAGTTATACAATTCGCTCCAAGAAACATGCAATAACATGAAGTGCAATGACATGTAACCTTGTATCCTGCCCAATCTGCATCAGCAATGCGAACAAATGAACTTCACTATTTGAAGCCCAAGATGTGGAGTGCCTTTAATAGTTTTCATCAACCATGGCCTCTTTCCACTCAGAATGTTTAAGAGCAAAGGCAGTGCTGCAAGTTTAGAGGGAATGGACGATCATGGGATGCGAACGAACAATAGCTATGGAATCGACTGCGATACCAGATGTCTCATAAGAAGCTGCAACTACGGTAGTGGTCGGTCTTGTGGACACTGCATCGGTGAGGGAGACTAGAAGAGTTTCTTGGCACATTTCCAGAGATGAGTAAGTTGAGTGATAAAACTCAGTAACGAGATCATCATTACAGAGCCTTGCATGTTCACATGCCAAATTAGAAAAGATAGTAAATACAGTAGATACAGGCTGAGTAGATGTGGAGATAATCTCAGTAGCAGGTAGCTTTGTCGTTTCTTGATTTTTTTTTTTTTTTTATCGGAGTCGTTTCTTGAGTTGGATCAGAGTTGATCCGACAATCAAAAGCAGCTTTTGAATTACGGAACTAATTTTCACAGCTGTGATGTTGTTGACAGTAGCATGATCCTTAGACTTATATGCAACAGGGAAATAATTTTCATGAAAAACAACATGCCGAGAGATATAAGCACGTTCAACGGAACAAAACTCCGTGATGGGTAGATTAATTCCTAATTTTTTAAACTTGAAATCTATCATGTTTGCCCTAGAGTTAGTTCTAGAACATACCCTATTTTTTGGGTCCGGTTCCGGAGCCTATCTAAAAACATGTTTTTCAATTGTTAAAATATGTCTAGAATTTGAATTAGGAAACTTTTTTTTTCGAACTCAAACTCAAGACATATTTTACAATATTTCATAGTCCCAAATTTTACCTAATAACTCACACAGTGTTTAACCCAATAATTCATTGCGAAATAATCTCTAAATATTACACAAATCTTACTACAAGATTTAATTGGCTTCAATACTAAAAGCCGTTATGGTGTAATTCAC